AGAATAATTTAAAAAATATTAAAACATATTTAAACAAGCAAATGAACGTCAAATATCTAATTCCAGTTGCCTGAAATTTTTCAGACAACGAAATTCTGCAAGATGATCGCACATATTTTACGAAGAACCGTCACACAGTGGTGCTATTTCACGAAATGCTGGCGATAATTCATAAGTTCACACGATTTTCATGAAAATTGGTATTCTTATGTTTCTGGAGTTGCTGAATTCGAATATCTTATCAAAAATGCAAAATTCGAAATGGAGGATCTAATATCACTGGTGTAAACGTTTTTTTTAATTTAATTTTTCTGAAAATTGATTGTTTTCCGATTTACCTTTACATATATCACGGTATACCATATACACCAATTAATTATTGGCTAATAGAGTGCAAGTTTCGTTTAAATCATTGAGAAAGCAGATCTTTCGGAAGTGTTCTTCCTGTATTGAACTGACCGCTCCAAGCCGAAACTTTCTCAAGGTATAATCTTGGACCCATTATTCAGTAAGATGGTATCAGTGTTTTAGATACATTTTTTATTTCATATCAAATTTTTTACAAATATATTAACCTTTGCAGAGATATCGTCAATACGCTCTGGTGGGACAGACTGTAGAACCCCTACCTGGCAGTTTAAATTTAAATATCTTAAAAAAGCACAAATGTTCTCAACTGGATGTGGTACTTGAGATGTAACTTTATATCAGGAAACTTGTCACTGCGTGAATTTCGATGAATAACACTTTTGTCTTCCTTCTGTTTTATTAAAACATGACTAAGATTTATGATATATTGAGAAGGGAATTACAAGGGTAAAATCAAAGATATATTACTTCTTTTCTGTGGACAGTTTATGTTTATATATACCTACTTTAATGGTAAAATGTTTTACATATGAATTTTTTAAAGATAAACTTTCCCTGACACGTTAAACATGCTCCAATTTTCGAGACACTAAGGAGCATGAAAGTTCGTCATCTTTGACGGCCTATATTTCAGTGACCAATTCATATATTTAACTCTTTGACAGTCTAATAAAATTATGAATTACGGTAAAAGAAATTTACATTTCACATGTATCTTTTTAACAATTATGTCAGGTATGACCATTCTTAAAACAAGGGATACATAACCCTACGTCATAGTTATGACAATAATGTCACGTCCCTTTTTAACTTTCTTCCTAAGAGTCTCTTTTGAGTTAAATAATTAAATATTTGACGCTTTGTCCGAGTCTCACACGGGATAAACTGTCGAAGGGTTAAAAAATTCAAGCGACATTTGATGCACTGATGTACTTATGTATATACAAGAAATCTGCTATAGTAGCAAAAAGCTGTTGTATACTTCGAAAATTGAATTTTGGCCAGCTTTTCGTGAAATAGCACCACTGTGCGTTGTTTTCCCTTCCAAAGTCGAGCCAATAGGCTTGTCAGGTTGACTTCCGCTCATCCTTAACCACCAGAGGATCGTTCCTGGGAGTATTAAACCTGTCTCTCCGAACGTTTCTCGTATTCACGCTGGAAATACAATATTCCTTGGCGAACAACTCGAACATCAAGCTTTCTTGAAAACTCCCAATACCTTTGAGACACGTTACAATCTTCAAGGTCCAACACGAAGCTATTCGATCGAATAATCTCGTTGAAAGCTGCTGGATCAAGCACGAATCGAATGTCCAATGAGATTCATGGTATGGAAAGTGGATATATTCACGAACTCACTTTTCTTCTTTTACCAGACACAAATCTCGCGAATCGAGGATTCCACGTTGAATTGATTAATGTTTCTCTACGAGAAGAAAATTCCTTTTTCATTCGTAACATTCAACGTCCTAGCTCTGTTCAAGTTGGATTTATATCGAAACAAAGGAAATAAAAATAAAAAAATTTACGAACTTTCATTATTTTTTTCATTTAAAATAAAATTTCTCGCTTTCAGAAGTTTCGCTGCAAAAATATTCCGGAAAATTAAAAGTTTCGCCTCAAAAATGTCCTGGAATTACTGGTCGATGGTGTACAAACAATTCTCGAAATGCAAAGAGTTGAAAAACAAAATTTCGGTATGTATATCATACTGATATTTGTAATTTGAGTTCTGGAATTTTTCCAGCACACTGTATAATGTATGAAGTGTAATTGCTATCAATGGTTTCGTCTTTTTCGAGGGAAACGACGGACGAGCGTTAATTACACTTCTGAAAGCCACGTGGGAAGCTTATCGCTGAATAAACTTTCCTCTAATTGCTTCGTTAATTGCATTATCACGAGTCCGTTGGATCACAAGGGGAAGTATTTTAAAAAAAAAAAATTTCCAAGACAATACAGTTGTAAATTTTTCTCTCTGGATTTTTAGAAATTCAACCAGAAATGGATTTTAGTTACTTCGTTAGCGAAGGAGCTTTTTCTTTGAGAAATTCAAAAGACGTAGCTTCTCGGAATAATGTTGCATTAAAGTGGCTTCATGCATTTTTCTTGTGCAATTAAAGCTCGTCTGATTACTGATTACGCGAGCACCAAGAGGAAATTTACTGATCCCAATTATCCGGAAGTGGAGAGGATTTTTCAGGGCAGAAACTCGAGTGCAATCTGGATGAAACGGGAAAAGTAGCGAATTAATGGCAAACGCGGAAGTTCGCACAGTTAACTTTCTTATTTAATAGCTTTTTTATGGTTTGTTTATGGTTAGACTGATTACTGTAGTAGTTAGTTTGGAAATTCAAAATTTAAAGTTCTTAATATTCTTGGTACTTTGAATTTAGTTTTTACGACGATTTTATTTGTGGTGAAAACTATTAAAATTGTATTTCAAGAAATAGAATTGTCTATTTCTAGCCTAGAATTCCAATATAAATGTATCAGATTCTACTAAGTTTATTATTCCAATCAAATTTTCCATTTTTGGTAATGTAAGTTTGCAATAAAATTCCCTAGTTTTACTAAAGTAACTCCACAATAGAAAAAAAAGGAAAGAATACTCAAAATACTTATTGTATTCCTGTAAAATAATTGCATAATAATTAAAACAGGTCTCTTCATTTTTTGCTTCGTTTGAAAATTCTGTCTTTTACAAGTTGTGGCTTAAAAATCCTTCAATTACTGCCAAGAAAACACTAGAACTCGACGATACTTAACCAACAATATGAAAACAATGATCTTGCGAGTAAACAAACGGTGGGAAAAATTCGGCATTTGAAAAGAAAAAAAAATCAGTGAATTTTAACGAGAACGTCACATATCCAGCTATGTAGTTGAATGAATTATTCAGATGAAATATGTGCAGGTCATCAAGAAATGCCATAACTCGGTCGATCTTGACCTCAGCCGCATATCAATTCCAAATTTTGCATATTACTTCGAAACCAGCTAAAACAATATCGCCTCCGTAATCGCGCGAACTCACTGAGAATAATACACTTTCTGCACTTATTTCCTTGGTCTTCTTTTCCCTTCGATTGCAACACAGAATCGACTGAAATTACAACTCAGAATAACGCATTTTCTGTAATTACTTTCTTTCAATTTTCTGTGGGGTTTTCCCCTCTCAATTACGACGCAGAATCGTCTAAAGCGTAAAAGGAAAGGAAATTGCATTAATAACGAATTGTCGTAGCTCGTTTATATAAACTGGTTTCGCCTTGAAACCTGGAGAAACTATAGAAGGACATCCCTTCGACTCGAGTCGAGTCGTGAAAGGGAGAATTCGT